TTATAAACATCTCATTTACATTTAGACGCCATTAACATTCATTTCATCACTGAAGAAGGTTATAGTATTTTAGCCGAAACGTCTATTTTAAGATTTTTAGGTCAGTGACAACAACTTTTAAGATTTTATCACTATGCCTGACTACAACTACAGTATTTTTAAACTTGTTAAGTTCTTTCAATACAATGCTATCATTACCATAGTTTATTCAAGAGATATAAATAATGTTTAAAAATTACCTCTTGAAATGGAAATCGTGAGGTTAGCCCTATACGTGACATTCCCATAAATAAAAGCGTAAATGATGTGTACATTATCTAGCTAGTGGACAGTCATTGCTGCTGCTCTGTTTAGGTCCTTCTTAACAGGAAAGTTTGTTTAGTTACAAAATGGGCAGGTAGATCATTTAGCAACCTAATTTACGTTATTGTACATTTTCATTTAGTACTATTTCTTTGGTGAGGGGTGTGGCAGGGTGGGGGGGTGGGGCAGGGGAGAATTGGTTTGTTCTTTTGGGCCACCAGAGAATTGTGATAGCATCCCCTAGTTTAACAATGAAGCCAATTATTTCTAATGGTTATTTAAGCAATAAAAAAGTAATAAATAAATGAGATTTCCCACTGCCATTTTTTGTCACTTATATTTTCATGCATGCTCAGAGGGACTACATGTAGTCTATCAATTGTATTGTATTCATGATTTGTTCATAATTTGGTAGGTTGAGATGAGCCCAGAAGAAGCCAACAGAATATTTGACTTGATTGACACCAACAAATCAGGGTAAAATGAACAACAAAAATTAAAGTTACTTCACCATTACTAAACAATAATTTTTCAAATTACACAGTGGCTTGCAAATTTTGCATTCTCTCTGTGCATAAAACCCAGGTAAAAAAGCTTGCCAAGTTCAGTGACTTGTGAACATCTATTCATTAGACTGTACATGTATAAAAGATCCCTCAAATTCTCCCTTTGGAAATTACAACAAGAAAATGAAATGTGAGAGAAAAATAGCCCCACTTAGAAGAAAAATAATCAAATGGTGCATGATGCATGTACCGTTAGACTCTTATGAAAGGCATAATCTTATCTTGCATGCTGATGCATTGTGTGCCAATTGCATTTCAAGTTTCACCTATTAAGCCGAGGAAGTAACTGTTAATGATCAATACTTTGAATAGGTTTGATTACCAGCCGCTCTTCGGGAAAGGAGCCCACACTCTGGGAGAAATGTTGACTCAGACATGAGAGAGCAGTGGAAATCAAACCTATACTTAAAGTGTGTGAAGATGCATACTCGCAGATAAATGAAAGTAATGATTGGGAACCAATTATCAATTGAAAGTATACGTCATCAAATTAACAGTAGAGAGTTTCCTTCAGAACAAGAAGCAAGCAACTCAACTCTGGATTGACTCAAGGCTGCTGCCATGCTACAGGATGAAGTTGATTCTTTCACAATAAAATTGCTGTTTTTCAATTTCAGTGATATTGATGTCATAGAATGGCATGAATTCCTCACACCACAGCTGAAGCTGTCACAGCTATTCAAGGCTAAGCCAAAGGGAGATGTAAGTTTGCCTGCTTATGAATTCTCTTCCAGTATCTGGAAGTGAATCAGATGACAATTTTATTATTGTTTATTGTCTAGTATATTTCTGAGAATGACTGGCATCAACAATACACATCTGTTAAACATATAGTGAACCTTACATTTTAGTAGCAGGTCCAAAATGCTTAAAA